ACTAATTACGAAAAATTACAACGCAATTAAACTAAGGGAAGGAATTATACGAAAGTAATTTCACATTTACTAAATATCTTTTATGAGGTATGAATGAACAAAATTACTTCAGAAATCAATTTAGATTTTGTTGCCTAGAAAACTAAACCGTAAAAAATTCTAACAAACATCTGTTAAAATAAAGTTATAATTTAAATTAAGAACACTAAATCAAATCGAAAAATACGCCTAAACCATGTAAATACCAATAGAAATACAAAATAAAAAGTCGCATTTCGGTGTGCCTTCCACCACGTTCAATGCAATCAATTGCCCTTTTTAAAACATCTTCAACTGCATTCTTTATATTACGGGGTCTCGTGCTTACAACACATTCTCGAATAACTGTCTCTAAATGGTTTATATCTCGAAAAGGTCTTTGCTTATACACCTTCTGTTTTAAGTAACCCCACAAGAAGAAATCTAGTGGGGTTATATCAGGAGATCTAGGCGGCCAAAAGTGTTCCATATTGCGACTGATTACTTTGCCCCTAAATATTTCCAAAAGACGCTCTTTAACCACCCTTGTAGTATGAATAGGTGCACCATCACACTGATACCACACAACATTTCTTACTTCAAAGGGCATATTATTCAAAACTTCAGATAGTTTGGTATTCACAAAGTATAGGTAGTCCGCAGAATTTAAATTATGTCTAAAAAAGTATGGTCCTATACCTATACCACCACCTGCAGTTTTGCGAGCTCACAACCCCATTTGAAGAGAAGGTCGCTTCATCTGTCCATAAAATTTGATAAGGAAAATGATAATTTTCTTCTTTTTCCCCTTGAAAACAAAAAAAAATACAAGCGCATATCGAAGTCCCTTTCTTTTAATGTATTGATAAATTTCGGTTTATAAGGCGTAAATTTATTTTTGTGTAAAATACGTCGTACAGTCTTTCGGTTAACATCTGTTCTATCTGCAATATCTTGAATACTTGTTTTTTTATTTTCTACGACATCCAAACATATTTCAAATTCCACTTCTTCAGTATGTCTAGGAGGCTGTTGTGCTTTTCCAAAATTACTCTCAATCGAGCCAGTAGATTTAAACTTAGCTATTATCCTACTAACTGTTGACTGATGAATATTTCTTGCAGGATGTCTGACATTGAAAATATCAGCTACTTGTCGGTGACCGGTATTCTCGCCGCATATTAAAACCCATTTCTTTTGTAACATGAGGATTATGATCAGTCCTTCAAGCCCAACTATTTGTGGCATATTTCTGTCACAGCGCGCTTCCAAATAATTATTTCATATTTACAGGCCTAGTTTGTGTTATTTTTAGAACTTATCATTTCCACTGGAACCATTTGTTGATAACGACAAATTATGAATGACAATTCCCAATGTAATGACATAATTGTAGATGAAATCGCAAATTGTAGCTCAAATATCAAATATTATGTAATACAATATCAAAAGGACGATCAAACAGAAACAATTTAGTCAGGCAAAAATGTTGGATGTAAGATTTTGATCAAAGGGGTATTTTTACATTTTTGTAGTTAAAACCAAATAATCCGAATGTCAATTGTTAATGTACATAAAGCTAAAATANAAAAAAAATTGGTGACATGCTCTGTGGGTGCGACAGGGGAAGTAACATCAAATGCGAACATGTCAAAATGTGTCTCCCTGTATACTATGGTTGACATATTTTTTTAATCCTCCTGAAAATCATTGTACCAAAAGTTATTCAGGGTGGCTCGTTTTAAATGGAATGCCAAATTAATACTGTAAATTGAGAAAGTGAAGTATATTCTTTTAAACTTGTTACAGTTAACTCTCCATCCAAATTATATAAATAGCTGAGGTACATTAATTAATGGAAGCTTGATTTCGAGCAAGTCGTGAATTGGGTTGCAGTAATTTGAGAAAGAAGCATCACTGGGGGAAATCTGTTATTAAATACTCGACAGCAACAATTATTACAAGAAAACAAATTACCTCAAATTCAAATTCAGTTAGACGAAGGTTGAACTCTTTCCGTGTTTTTCACTTCTGATGATTCGGTAGATACGTGGGACATATTTTTTTCTTGATTGTGAGAACGATGATCCAAACTTGTCGGGAAACTACTCAAGTTATTATCGTTCGCATTGTGATTAGTTGCTAAGAGTATAGATTTTTTAGATACTGTAGGCGAGGCTGATGAGGAAGGTACTGGGTCCAGTTCTGGACAGGAGTTCACTGTGCAAAGGTATCCAGTTCTCTCCATATTACAGTAGCAAGTATTACAGTCGATTTGGAAGTAGTCTCCAGGAGCACAGGGTGTATTTTTTAGGTCGGCAGCAATTGGTACATCTGCGCAATAAAAACATGAGTTTTTTCATGTAATAATGTAGGTACTTGAATTTGAATTGAATGAAAAATTTTTCAGCAGCGTAATAATTGTGCACTAAACATTTCTGAATTTGACAACATGAAATGCATACAAAAATTGAAATTTGAGATAATGAAATGAACGCATGAATACGTTATTTTGAAGTGAAATTGACAGATGAAACTTTCAATGACCCTATTTTTCCCCCTTGGGGGTGGAAATTACTGATTCCCTTTCTTGATGCTTATTTACGCTATACAAAGAACCTGCCTACATATTTCAAGATTCTAGGTTCAGTAGCTTCGGATGTACATTAATATAAGAGCGAGCAACAGCTAGTAATTAGTATTTTTACTTTTAAATACAGTAACTCAATAAATATACCAACTGCACTGAGAAATGAATAGCTTCGAGAATCGAATTATGTTACCTATAAATAAATTCATAAAACTAACACAACCGTCAACCCGTCGTCTTACAGTACACGCGACGCGTAATGGCTTATTGCGTCGCGTCAATTTGATCTCATCGTGATGAATTTTCAATAAAACGTCCAAATTACTTAGTATGAAAAAAGTTAATCTATATTGAATACTTGAAACGAGTTGACAGATATTCTACAATGTGCATTCTAAAAAAAGTATCCCTTTAATTGTATTCAATTCTCAGTATTTTTCATAAACTGACTACCACTTAACAGGTAGATATATGCTATCGCGAACTTTCATTTAGATTTATTTGAAATAAACAATCTTACGATACATCATCTTTAAGTAACTCCAACGGTATAGGCAGCACACGCCTTCAGGGAACAAGAAAGATGTGGAAACATCTCAAATCAATAATAAATCCGGTTAACAATAGTAAAATGAATAAAATCATCTTTCGTGAAAACAATTCAATAACAATTAGTGAAAATGAACATGAGATAGCTGAGAATTTCAATGGGGAAAGGAGTTATTAAAAATGGACCAGAGCTGATTATAAAATGTTTGAGGAGGATCAATAATATCCTGAGTATGTTCCCAATTAATTTGACTACATTTTGAATAGAACCTATTATAGTTTGCTGTACTGTAGAGTCTACCATACTTGAACTTTTTACCTTGTTTTGTAGAATCGATGTTAACACTGAAGTGAATAGCTTCATGATATAATTTAAATATGACGTGTTTCAGGATTTTGTTAAAATGTGTACAGTAACCGAATTAATGAATTTATTCCATTTGACTTTTACACACGGTATACCACGACACAGTAGAAAGAATATTTATTGGGATACGGAGCTACAAAAACACATGGCAATAATACGGACAAAACTTTTGAAACAACCTCATACATTTTGCAGCCACATCCAAATTCCCTACCAATTTATGATAATTTTTTCGTCAACACGTGAACATGATTCGATTTTCAAGAAGTCGAATGATAAAAAATTCCCATTTCATTCTGGCGTACCTAATACCTGTCGTGTTATATTGAAATGAAAAGGATCCATCCGTCACTTTGTTTTCTTTCCAATAACAGCCTGTCTATTGGAAATGATGAAATAACAACTCGAGTATTTGCATCCAATAAAACCCGTTTTTGTCTGTATGTTATGTCAACGAATTTGCTGAACCATTGAACCTGTCATGTCATCTGTGTTAAATAATTCAAATGGATAATATTCTCAATATAATGATTCTACTCTTGATCCTTCTCAGAAAATTATGTTGGGGTTTGCGGAGTTGTTCTCTACAGTATGCTTGAACTCCAATGATAATAATTCCGAGACTAGATTTTACCCATTGAATAACCTTAATATCTCGATTAAGTCCATTTCTGAAGAAGATATAATGAGAACTTCTAAAAAACTCAAAGATAACTTACCACTGGAGTGGACAACTTGCCAAGTTTTATTGTTATAGATTATATTTTTGCATTGATAGAACTACTTTCACATATCTTCAATTTAATTGTCAGTTCTGGAAGATATCCAGAGATATGGAAAAGAACAAAAATATGTCCGTCTTCAAGTCTGGCGACCGATCATTCGTATCCAACTACAGATCAGTGGCTATACTATGCAATTTTGGAAAACTCTTTGAAAGTATTAGTTATGATCAAATATATAACGATATTAGAATAATAATAACACCAAATTAGCATGGATTTATGTCCAAAAGATCTACCGTAAGAAACCTGGCGAGTATAACTAAATATTGAAAAGAGAAATGAAAATTTCTATGTTTTTTACCACTTTTAATTGAAACTAACGTTACTGCAGTTTCGTCCTATATGGAAATTCTTGAACTAATACAATAAACTGACAATGATTCCTTACATTCGCCAATATACAGTGCTTTTCAGATAAAAGTATCCACCTTTAATAACTTTTGTAATACTGGTATTTAGGAAAAATCCAAAACCAACGATTTAGAATAAAACAACAACAAATGACTGATAACGCTAGAATTACGTCATTGAAGTATATTCAATTTATTCAAATAGAAAGAGTAAAAAAGTTAACTGTACTATGTTAGGAATGAAACATAGTACAGCAGCTCGGCAGCAAATAATCAACATTATCAATAATCATCACCATATGCCACTGACAATGTTTCTAGTGTTTTTGAGCACCCATTTCCATTTTTTATACAGAATTTGATTCAAATTCTTCGATGTTTTTCCATAGCAGAAAATCGCCGAACATGCAAAACACTTTTATGCCTCTCACCAACAAACTGTAGATGCTAAACAGCTGAAACGAATGTATTGATATTATGTAATTGGAACATCGCTACCTCTCAAATAATACCTATGAAAACAAAAGTCATCGAAAACGGAGCTATTTTTGAGTACTTCCAACGCTTGCCTGTTATACGTTGACGTCACTAAGAAGTAGAACACGCTTAGTATACAGTGTCAAACCCAAAGTATGCACCATATGGAAAACTTNCTTTTTTTTATTATGCATAGCTGAATATATAAAACCACTAACTAGTTTCATATTATGGTATTTACAAAAAACTAAATAAAACATTAACTCACGTAGACGTGCTGGTGGGGTCCACAGAGATTTTAATCAATATTTTTCGAAAGATAAGCACTTTACTATACTTGCGCGACGAAGGGTCTGTAGCAACTGATGTGATCGAGGATTAACTAGACTATGAGCGCCATCTGAACGATAATTATATGAGAAATCGTTACGTTTACTACGAGTGGGGTCCGCGTGGACCCCGCCAGCACAGTTAAGGGCTAGCTAGATTGTCTGCAGACAAAGGCAGTACGAATGCTCTGTGCAACATTGAGTTGTAGGCTGCTAATTTATGACTATCTGGATGGAAAGAATCGCTTAGGATGGTAATGTCTGTATAGCTAGGATTTCTGAAAACATGGAACTCGAATTTATTCTGATTGTGTGTAATGGCCAGGTCTAAGAAATTTATCTGTTTCTCTATCTCTGTTTCGAGTGTGAACTGAATGTTGCTATTGAGATTGTTCATGAATGTCATAAATTGGTTCAGCTGTCGTGTAGTAACTCTGAAACAGGCAAGAATCTCGTCTACATATCTGTACCAAAAATGAATATGTTTTTTACCTAGGTCGGAGTTTACTATAATGGTCTCCAAGTTGTTCATAAATATGTCTGCTAGAAGTGGACTAAGAGGTGAGCCCATTGGTAAACCTGAATCCTGTTTATAGAATTTGTTGTTGAACTGTAGGTAGCTCATTCAGGCACACATCGAAAGCTGTTGAAACTCCAAAGAAAGTGATATGGTCTACTTTGGCTTGATCTGATATGTCTAAAATGAGGGGCTTACACTCGTTGTACGGTATATTGAAGAACATACTCTTTACATCGAATGAAACCAAAATTGAATTATGTGGCGTGGTTTGGTTCCTTATGTTTTCTACTAAAGTCAGTGAATTTTTTATGCTGTGAGGTGGGACGAAATTGGTAATATTTTTGAACAACTTGTTAAGACGTATTCCTAGTTCTCTTACTGGACTATTTATATACGAAACTACCAGTCTTATGGAGTTATCATCTTCATGTGTTTGTATCAGGCCATACAGTTTAGGGCAAGAGGGGTTCATGTTGGTGATTCTCCGTTTCTCTGATTCCGTGAAAATGATTTGGAGTATTTATTTTTACTTATAGCTGCATCCTCAAAAAGCTTATTTGACGGATACGTATATTTTTTTTGGTGAATTATTTTCAAAATTTGTTTCTGTACTATCTCAAGTTTTTGAAGATGGGTATTAAGTACACCACCCCAGCTAAGGATACCGTGACTCCACAAGAGCATAATATAGAGTGAGGGAACGCGTATCTAATATTCTATTGAAGCATTTGAATCTATACAACAATGGTCTTAGACTTTTAGTTACTTCATCGATATGATGATTCCATCTTAAATGGCAATCTATTATAACACCTAGATATGGGACTCTCTCTGCTTGTTTGATGGCAATCTGTTGATTGGTTTTTCCCAGTGTGAGTTCCTTGAACTTAGGTAAGTTAGTTCTGTAACTCGAAAAAGGTATATAAAAAGTTTTGTCAAAGTTTACCTTAAGCAACTTATGGTCAAACCAATTGATAATATTTAACAGATAATTAGATTTATTTTTAAAGGTTAGTACTCTGTGGTTATGTTGAAATTTCATGCCAAACTTCAGTTGAACTATAAGCTGTTCCAATCAGAAATTTCAAATTGATCAGAAACCAACATTTAACAGACATGCGCGTTGACAACACAAACTGTTGGAAATCTGTTGGTGACTCAAGGTTGGAACGAACCTATAGTATCTTCAGTCAGGCGGATGGCTCTTTTCTGGATGGAATCCAGCAACTTCAAGGTTTGTTTGGGGGCAGAGCTCGATACATGGGAATAATACTCCAATGGAGGTCTGGTCTGAACTTTATGAAGCATCAAAAATTGCTGAGGTGTGTACAGTTTTTCGGTTCGGAACAGTGCTCCTAAATTTTAAGTAGCAGCCTTTGCGATTCCAACGACATGATTGTGCCAACAAATATTGGTGTCCATTTTAACCCCCAAAAAACGTATCTAACCAGAAAGCGGAATTATCTGACCTAACATTATTATATCCGGTACGAAGATATTTATCTTCTTGGAGAACACCAATGCCTGGGTTTTTGTGGCATTGAATTGAATCTTGTTACTTCCACGCCAATTCGAAATCGCTTCTAGATCCTCATACAGACATGCAACCTCATGCTGTCGGTGAAGATATGCCTCCGTAGCCGATGACCTGGAATTCAAACGGAATGACGACACAAGTGCGCTATCGTCAGCAAAGCAATATATTGAATTATTGGTTTTTTCCAATGTGTCGTTGATATATAATGAAAAAGAGGTTGGAGACAATATGGATCCCTGGAGAACACCATCGTTGATGGGTAAAGTACTCGAGAGGTATCCATCGACGGCCACTTGCAGGGAACGTTCTTTTAGAAAGCTGGAGAGTCATACACAAAAATGATTCGACAAGCCATAGCAACGAAATTTGGCCAGCAAACGGTCACACGGTCAAAGGCCTTAGAAATATCAAGCGCAACAGGTCTTGATTCTCTATGTTTCTCGATTGCGTTATGGGTGACATGTGATAGAAGGTCGTTTGTTGATCATTGTTTCCGAAAGGCATACTGATGATAGCTCGAGATGTCGAAGCCTTTCAAATATCTGAGGATATGGTGGTTTACGATTTTCTCCATGATTTTTGATATCAATGATAGTGAAGCGACTGGCTATAGTTTCCTTTGCCTTTTTTGGGAATAGGCTAAACGCGAGCAATTTTCCAACAAGAATAAAAAACCCTTTTCTTGTATGATAGGTTGAAAAGTTAATACGATGACGGGAACTTCATCAGGGCCAGACGCCTTGTTGATATTGAGCTGTTTCAAAATTCGCCTGACTAGCCGCTGTCATAAAGTAATTTCCGGCATTGTGGATTCTAGTGTGGGAATGAATATTCACTTGAAAAGTTATCAAAGAAAAACATTTTTCATTTTGTAACTTCGAGGGCCCGTTACTTGGTAACGAAGGATTTTAGGAAAAAAAGTTATATGAAGTACTGGTGATATTTTGACCCCATCTATACATTCCCGAGAGGAAAAGAGGAAGTCCAGGGACACCCTGTATAGTATCTCCAGTCAGGCGGATGGCTCTTTTCTGGATGGAATCCAGCAACTTCAAGGTTTGTTTGGGGGCAGAGCTCGATACATGGGAATAATACTCCAATGAAGGTCTGGTCTGAACTTTATAAAGCATCAAAAATTGCTGAGGTATGTACAGTTTTTCGGTTCGGAACAGTGCTCCTAAATTTTAAGTAGCAGCCTTTGCGATTCCAACGCCATTATTGTGCCAACAAATATTGGTGTCCATTTTAACCCCCAAAAACTTATCGAAGCAGAAAGCACAATTATCTGACCTGACATTATTATATCCGGTACGAAGATATTTAGCTTCTTGGAGAAAACCAATGCCTGGGTTTTTGTGGCATTGAATTGAATCTGGTTACTTCCACGCCAATTCGAAATCGCTTCTAGATCCTCATACAATCATGCAACCCTAATGCTGTCGGTGAAGATGTGCCTCCGTAGCCGATGTCCTGGAATCCAAGTGGAATAACGAGACAAGTGTGCTATCGTCAGCAAAGCAATATATTGAACTCTTGATTTTTTCCAATGTGTCGTTGATATACAATGAAAAAGAGGTTGGAGACAATATGGATCCCTGGAGAACACCAGCGTTGATGGGTAAAGTACTCGAGAGGTATCCATCGACGGCCACTTGCAGGGAACGTTCTTTTAGAAAGCTGGAGAGCCATACACAAAAATGATTCGACAAGCCATAGCAACGAAATTTGGCCAGCAAACGGTCACACGGTCAAAGGCCTTAGAAATATCAAGCGCAACAGCTCTTGATTCTCTATGTTTCTCGATTGCGTTATGGGTGACATGTGATAGAAGGTCGTCTGTTGATCATTGTTTCCGAAAGGCATACTGATGATAGCTCGAGATGTTGAAGCCTTTCAAATATCTGAGGATATGGTGATATCAATGATAGTGAAGCGACTGGTCTATAGTTTCCTTTGGCTTTTTTGGGAATAGGCTAAACGCGAGCAATTTTCCAACAAGAATAAAAAACCCTTTTCTTGTATGATAGGTTGAAAAGTTAATACGTTAATCCGATGACGGGAACTTCATCAGGGCCACACGCCTTGTTGATATTGAGCTGTTTCAAAATTCGCCTGACTAGCCGCTGTCATAAAGTAATTTCCGGCATTGTGGATTCTAGTGTGGGATTACTAGGTGGTGTCTCTTCCAGAAAATCGACTGTGGAGTGGGTCACAAATTGTTCAGCTTCAAGTTTCAAGCATAGCCCATTGACTAATAAGAAAATTTTCTATGGATGTTGTTGCAATTGAACCATCCGCTTGTGTTCGTGGTGGAATTGTGAATTTTGTAAAGTTCTGATGAACAGCTTCAGCTACCGACCAGAAGGATCTGGACCTTTTGAAATTGACAAGCAGTTTATCCCTAATTCTGTGATTGTGATGTTCTATGCTTTCATTTATCTCGAGTTTGCAGCTGTTGCGATCATTAACAAACCTACTACGGTTTTCGGCACTGGGATTTTTGCGTCACTGCCGGTAGGCGAGTTTTTTTATTATAATTATCATGAAATAGTTTTGATAAATATAAACTATTGTTGAAATACAACTCACCTTCCATATAAACGAATCCAACCAAAATAACAAGCACAAATAAGGCACTCAGACTACGTCCGTTCATGATTCGATTATTATGAGATGCTGGTACTTCAACTCAATACCCTTCAATGGCAAATGGCGCCTCTCAAATCAACGAATCGAATGCAATTAGTGAGATTCTATAATTGTCATTTATTTATTGAAGGAGCCGATATCGTTTTCGATTTCGGGTCTCATCCATTCATCATTCCAAATATAAAATAAAAGACACGGAGACATAATTCATTATCATAATTTTATCAACATTAGTTCACAACATTGACTGAACTTATTTGTTATTTTCTCGGCTTCATAGTGAGTGTCTCCACAATCTTGTTTTCTTAACATTTATCAACGACCAAATAAATGATTCCAATTTCGAAATAACCGACTCAATGTACTTGGGTGACCTTTACTTGAAATTGGATCTCGAATCTTTCGATGTTTCTAAAGAATGTATATAGAAATTTTTATACAATTTGATAATGGACAGTATTCCATTTATCTAAAAAAAAATTATATTTTTGTCAAATATCTGGACGCCTTGATGGT